CCGATCTGGCTAATCTACATGCCTCCGTCGAAGGAGGCATGTAGTCTAGACACACCCATACAGGATGGACACCTTTCTCTGAATGGCCTACGTCCACCTGAAGTTGTGGGATTGGTTCAGGAAATGTTGAGGGAAATCCTGGCCACACAGAGAACACGAGTAGAGTCCTGCACAGATACAAAAATGTGGATTTGCATCTGCCGATCTGGCTAATCTACATGCCTCCGTCGAAGGAGGCATGTAGTCTAGACACACCCATACAGGATGGACACCTTTCTCTGAATGGCCTACGTCCACCTGAAGTTGTGGGATTGGTTCAGGAAATGTTGAGGGAAATCCTGGCCACACAGAGAACACGAGTAGAGTCCTGCACAGATACAAAAATGTGGATTTGCATCTGATCCCCATCCACCAAGCTCAACTGCTCATCTGATCCGCCATCTGCATCCACGTCTGCACTCTCAGCGCAAGCCATTGGAGGGCAGGGGGAAGGAACACGGAGGAGCAAGGGGACAGGGTCCTGCAGGGAAGAGGCAGGCAGAACAGAACTGGGGGTAGGAGGCAGCTCAGGGGCAGGGTGAGTGTCTGTGGGTGGGGAAGGGAATGGATCATGTGTTGCTGGGGGCTCATGGGTGATGGTCCCCTCTGCAGCAGCTTCTGCCTTGTCACAGCAGAGCAAAGGGTTAGAGCATCAGGACCCTGCCCTCTCCAGTCCTCATGGCAGAGGGTGGGCCCTGATGTCCAGGAACTGACCCATGCCCAGGCTGCCGCCTCATTTCTCCTACAGCTCAAGCTCCAAGAGCGCAGCCCTGGGCCCTCCTCTCTTGGGGTGTGTCTAGACTGCAGCCCGCTGTCGGCAGAGGGATGCAGATTAGGCAGGTCAACATTGCAAATGAGGCAGGGATTTAAATTAGCATAAAATGGCCGTTGTGTTTTGCCAACTCAGCACTTCGTCGGCAAAAAGCGACAGTCCAGAGGAGAATCTGTTGAGAAAGAAAGCCTTTTGCGACAGATCCCTTATGCCTCCTGCAAGGACAGGTACTGAGTCGGCAAAACACGGTGGCCATTCTTATGCAAATTAGGCACGGGATATTTAAATCCCTGCCTCATTTGCAATGTTGACCTGCCTAATCTGCATCCCTCTGCCGACAGAGGGATGCAGTCTAGACATACCCTGCTCCTCTCCCAGAAACCAGCCACCTCTCCCATGCATGCTTCCAATAGCCACAGCGCCAGGACAGCGGTGGGGGGAGGGCGGTGCATCTGGAATGTATTTGTACAGGGGCCAGGGCTCCTGCAGGTCAGTGCTCACTAGCTGGGGGACCCCTTGTGCAAGGAGGGGGGGTTTTGAGTGAGCAAGGGGACCCTGTTTGCCCCTTCCCTCCAGCAGCAGGGGGCTTTCCCAGAATCCCCTCCACCTGCACAGGTATCTGCATCTGCTCCACTGCCTGTGAATGGCCTGTGGATACGAAGCAGATATCTGTGGATATGCAGGGCTCCCCGCAGATCTGTCTGTTTCATCCTCTTAAGGCTCCGGGGTCACTTGCTGGTCTCTGAGCACCGTGGTACCCGAGGTGTCAAAATGATTTGGATCCTTCCCCTTGTTCGCAGATGCCCATGCCATTCGGACATGTGGTCTTTTCCCAGCGACATTCCCCGTCTTGGCACTTCTGGTGCAGTGGCCGCTGTCTGGGAACTTCAAACCCAATATTTTCGGTCACTTTTCTGATACAAATCTAGGGAGAGACTAAGCATCTTTTCCCTGCTGCTTAGAATGATCATCGTGCTTTTTTCTCAGCTAGCTCAAAATGGCTGAGCTTGGTCTAGGTGGTGTGGCCACAGGGAGCTCTGGCCCTGCCCCAGCATGGAAATAAAACTGATGATTATGAATGACTTTGTGACTGGTTGAAAAAGCTCCTAGAGAGACAAAGCCCGTGGGCTTGGCTCCAAAGTGTGAACTTGTCCCTTGTATGTGCATGGACAGTATTCAAGCTTAAGGCTCAGAGCTTATGGACTTACAGGTATCAAACACTTATGTTTCCCTAAGGACTTACCACTCCTATGATGCTGCCTTGCAGACTCAAAGTAATTGAAGTGCTTTTGCCACCTTAGTGTGGGTTAAATGCTTGTGCCAGGTTAAGTCTGCAAAGCAGCTTAGCTGAGACTTTTGTGGCCTGTTCCTGAGAAGCACGGTGCACTTCTGCATCTCCAGGCCTGCAGCCCTATTCTTCCTTTAAAAAAAAAACAGTGAAGAGAAAGGAAATTCAGAAAACTTCAATCACTGTCCCATGAACAATTAAAAACAGCAAGGTAGGGAGAGCAGAATTAACTGTTCTTGCAGTGATATCTCTTGGCTGTTTCTGAATGTAGAATTTCCAGTCTCTATTGCTGAATATGGGCTGTTAGATCTACTGGTCCCATATCAAGATATATTTTTCTAAAAGACATGCTCTAGGAATTTGGACAGGGGGCGGGGGGTGAGTTATCTGGCTTGTGTTATACAGGAGGCCGGATTAGATGATCACAATAGATCACATCTGGAGTATTGTGTCCAGTTCTGGGCCCCCCACTAAAGAAAGGATGTGGACACATTGGAGAGGGTCCAGTGGAGGGCGACCAAAATGATGAGGGGGCTGGAGCACATGACCTACGAGGAGAGACTGAGGGACTTGGGTCTGTTTAGTTTGCAGAAGCGAAGAGTGAGGGGGGATTTGAGAGCAGCCTTCAACTTCCTGAAGGGAGGTTCCGAAGAGGATGGAGAGGCTGGTCTCAGTAGTGACAGATGGTGGAACAAGGAGCAATGGGCTCACATTTGAATGGGCTTTCCCTAGGAGGGTGGTGAAGCACTGGGCGGGGTTCCCTAGGGAGAGGGTTGGAATCTCTCTCCCTGCCGGTGTTTAAATCCCGGCTTGACACAGCCCTGGCCTGGATAATTGAGTTGGGGTTGGTCCTGCTTTGGGCAAAAGGCTGGACTCGCTGAGGTCTTTTCCAGCTCTGGGATTCTAGGGCTGTGTCTAGACTACATGCCTCTGTCGGCAGAGCCATGTAGATTAGGGTTGTAGGCAAAGGGAAATGAAGCGGCGATTTAAATGATCGCGGCTTCATTTACATTTACATGGCTGCCGTGCTGAGCCGACAAACAGATGATCAGCTGTTTGTCGGCTCGTGCACTAGTCTGGACGCTCCCCCTGTCGACATCAAAGCCCTTTGTCGGCAGCCCCGGTATTCCTCATGGAATGAGGTTTACCACAATCAAAAAAATGCCGCATTCTTTCGGTTTACTTTCGAAAGAACACAGCTGCAGTCTAGATGCAGGTGAAGTTTTTTTCAAAAAAAGGCTACATTTTTTTATAAAACCCTGTAGTCTAGACACACCCTGGATGCAAACTGTGCTTTTTCGAAAGAGCATCTAGACTCTTTCGAAAAAGCAGCTCGCTTTTCGAGACGTAGCGGATTCCTTTTGGCCTGGGACTCTGTGATTATTTGAATCACTGTTGCTAAATTAATGGTGCTGCAGGAATCCTCCCTTCAACATTCCCAGTAATTCCAAATGGCAAAACCTCTGTTCTCCTTGCTTTCTGCCATTGGGCCTTTGGAGTGAGCCTGGGCTCTGAGTGCCTGTCTCAGGGCAGACATGTCACGACTGTTCCCCACTCTGGCACGACAATGCAGAAGTGGGGGCCTGCAGAAGCACCCCAAAACCTGCTCTCTGCAGGCTTTGGGACAAAAACTTCCCCCCCAAATCCTACAACCTGGGGAATATCCACTGCCACCACTCAGGTATTCCAAGAAAACCAGGGAACAGACCACTTGGGAAACCTCCTCCCTAAAACCTCAGCGGTATCTCAAGCTCAAGACAAAAACAAGCTGCAGTTTGTGGTGGCTGTCTCCTTATCCAGCCAGATGGCCAGACCTTACAGGTTAACCTAGGACGCCAAAATGAACCAATACCAGGTTAATTAGAAGAAAAAACCCTTTTATTATCAAAACAAAGCCATAGTTGCAAGCACAGCGACTAGATGAAATTAATAGACTCATGGGGGTCCCCCCCAAGGGCTCAAAACTTAGTTACAAAAGAGAGAAAAACCACTTTGAATAGCACAGACATCATTTCCACATTCCCAAACCATCATATCTATAGTAGCCCTGTGTCTGAGAGTCTGTAATGCTGAAATGCTGGCTGTTCCCTCTGGACGGCCTGTGCTGCATGGGGAGTGCGGGGCCCAAACGGCCGCTTGCTCTCCCACGGCGGCCCGGCTGAGCGGTGCAGAAGGCAGCCGAGCGCCACGGCAGGAGGCGAAGGGGGGCGAGGCGGTGACGTGCAGTGTGACAGCGGCTCCAGTGGCTCCAGCGGCTCCAGGCCCCGCCCCCTGGCCGTGAACGTCACTGCCTCCCGCCATGGTGCTCAGCTGATTTCTGCACCACTCACCCAGGCCGCCGCATGGGACCAAGTGGCACAAGTGACCGTTTGGGCTCCACCATCCCCCGAGTGAGAGGCAGGAGGGGGAGGAGAAGAGAAAGAGAGAGATAGAGTCTCTGCCTCTCGGCAGGGGGCAGGGGAGAGCTGAGAGAGAGAGGGGAAGGTTGTAGAAAGAGGAGAGAGAGACACAGAGTGAGAGACCGGAGGCTCAGGAGAGAAGACCGACGTGGAGGAGAGACCTGAAAATCTCATCTTATGATGGGCTAATTGGCTAATAAACCAATAAAACCTGACGGGCTAATTAAACTTTGCCCTACTTACATATTGTGAAAAGACTTTTCTTGGAGAGAGTCACGACTTCCCATCTCCCCATTCCTTGGAGGAAACCTCACTGATTCAGACAAAGGAGGGAAAAGATAAAAATTCCTTTGTTCCAGTTTGAAATCGCTACCTGCATTACTATTGGCTACAGATACCTGGCTAGGGACAGTAGACATAGTTAACCCCTTAGTCCCCAGGTGCTAGCCAGCCCTCATGGTTATGACACACCCCAATCTGGGTGTAGGTTCTGGAATTAGATTTCACCAACCTGGTGCAAATGTGAACTCCCAAAGTACTACAGAAGCCTTATGATGGGGTCCTATAGCATTGTGTAAAACACTAAAAACCTTCTTATCAGCTTCACATCTAGTGTCCATGCAGGTGATGCTGACAGTCAGGCGAGGTTAGACTAGTTTCCAGATCTGCATTTGTACGAGTTCAAAGAGGCCTGGTTCCTTGGCATAAGTGGGCACCTGATTTGCCAGTGTCGCAGTCGTCACCCTTTGCTGCAGGTGACACTGAGATGCCTTTTTCTTTCTCATTTTAGGTGCCATTACAGTAATTTGGCCTTCTCCCTCATGGCCCATGTGTTGGCTGCTCATGCAGCTGAAGGGGAGTACCAGCGCTGGGTCTCTGAAAACATCCTGGATCGCTTGGGCATGGAGGACACTGGCTTTGATATCACACCGCCAATCCGTTCCCAAATGGCCATCGGGTTCTATAGCAGTGGGCAACCTGCCCCTCTTTATGACTTGGGCTGGTACAGGCCCTCTGGCCAGATGTACTCCACCGCTGCTGACCTTGCTAAACTGGCAATGGTCTTCCTAGGCACCTACCACCGGCGCCTGCTGGAGCCTGACACCGTGAAGACGATGCTGACACCTCTTCTGAAGTGCTCCAGTGAATACTTTGCCAACAAGACTGGCACGCCCTGGGAGATCAACGAGCAGCTGGGCTACGATATTATCAGGAAGGATGGTGATCTTGACGGCTACTCAGCCACCTTTTCCCTTGTCCCCAAGCTCCGCTTAAGCTTCATAGTGCTAATGGCAGGGCCTAGGCCCCAAGGGGGAGATATTGTGACTCAGACATATGAGTACCTTATTCCAGCCATGGAGACTGCGTTCCGGGAGTCAGGAAAGAGCCTGAACCCTCCCCCAAATCCCACCCCTTATGTTGGCTATTATACTTATGCCAACCTGACCTTCTATGAGATTAAAGTTGGGCCCACTGGGGTTCTGCTCATGCAACAGTTTGGACCCCATATTGAAGAGCTGATCCCTGAAAACTACCGGACGATCATGCTCCATCATTTGGAAGACCGAGTCTTCCAGGTGGTTTTTGACAAGGAGTTCCCCTGCATTCTACAGCTGGGCTCTGCCTCCGTCTCCCTGGAGACCCAGGATGGGCAGCTCTTTAATTTCTATCCTTTTGATCGCAAGGGTTTGTCTCCCGGCTTTGATGCCCCGGGACTAAACACATACAATGTGGTGCGCATACACAACAAGCCCGTGTTCTACAGCTAAGTGCCCCTGCTCCTGTGGGACCAAGGGCAGAAGTTGTTTCTGTTCTGTGTACCCCTGACTCTTTGGTCCCCAAGCCTTTGGGGATGCATCTTGAAAGGGAAAGACATCAGCAAACTGACTGCTTCCTCCAACCAAAGCTCTCTCTTCTGAAATGACCCTTGAGCCATGGGGGGCTGGGCTGGCTGCTGCGGGAGCCTGTAGAAACTCCCTGCTGGTGATGCTGGATACACAGGTCACCACTTAAATCTTTCAGTGCTACAGCTGCCCACCATCACAAAGCCTGGCTGGCTTCAGTGGGCCACGGGAATCTCCTGTGCTTTAGAGCAGAGTCTGTTCTGGGATCCAAGCTAGCCCAGCGACCTGCCGATCAAACTGCCTTCTCCTCTGGGGTTCGCCATAATCTGCATCCTGCCTGCTTTGTCCCGTCTAAGGGGGGTTCATCTCCCCTGTGTGGCTCAGAGGGATAGAGCGAGCAGTTTGCACCAGGGAGCAGGACAGTTTCCCTATGGGCCAGGTGGGGGTTCTGCTGCAGCTGCTCGTTCACTGAGGAAGTTGTAGGGCTTAGATCCAGAAGATCAAAGAGAATTAGTTGGGGGGGCAGGAGCTGTCTGAGTGCCTAGCTAAGCAGATGTGCTCTGAGTGCGTGTGGGAATGGGAGGGTGCAGGGCACCAGCAGACGGTTGGTTCCAGGGCCTTGCTTCTCTCCCCCATGTCTGGGTAGATGTCTGGCTGTGCCGTGGGCCCCGCAGTGGGGAGGTAGCTGTGAGTACTGCGTGTTGGCCTATGTTGTGGCTCAGGGCTGAGTACAGATCCCTGGTGTTCCTCATGTGCAGAAACTGGCCCTGCATCAGGACTGGGCTCCAACCTTTCCGCATGTTCCATGCGTGGTGGAGAAAAGCTTCCTTGCTGTCGGGGAGCATTAGCGCTAGCGCAGAAGGACGTCACATGGGAGGGCACTAGCTTGAAACCTGATCCCTTTCCATTAGGGTCCCCTTTGGGAGCTTCCTAATGCTCCTCAGGCATTTTGCTCCTTGCTTGTACCCGCCTGGAGGCCTCGGCAGGAGATCACACGACACAAGTTGCCGCGTCTGGTCATTTGCTTCATCCCCCCGGGGTAAAACATCCCCTCAGTGCAAGGGTGTAGGGAGGCAACTGTCAGCAGAGAAGGATTCCAGCCCCAGAGACCTTCAGCTGCACCAACATCTACCTGGTGCTTAGGGCAGCATCACTGGAGCCTGAGTCCAAAGCAATCAGCAGCCGGGGCTGGGTGGATGTTACCCGGGCGATTAGTTACCCTCACTGCTGAGAGCTGGCTCAGACTTGCCATAGGCTGTCTAGCCCTGAACATTCAATCCCTGCCTGTGGTGCAGGGCGGGGGCAGGCTAAGAAAATTGTTTCAGGTCAATGAAACAGATGTTCCGACAGCAGATGTTCTCTTGTGCCAGCTAGGGATGGAAAATCCCGGCTAATCAGTTAACCGTTCAACCAGAGGTTGAACTAGTTAACTGATTAAGCAGGATCCCACTCTCCCCACCATGCAGGGGGACCAGCTTCTACTCTCACCCCCTCCCTCTGTGCACAGGGCAGCCTCTCCAGCTCCCACCCCCCACCACTTGTACGGGTTACCCCCCTCACATTCCTTGTGCCAGCCTGGTCTCTTGTGGCTGGTTAATTTCCTCCAGCTGGTCATAAGCCCTTGTTGGCAGCCTGCAGCAATTGCAAGGT